AGAGAGGACCAGGCCTCGGCTTTATTTTGTGTTTTGGTTCTGTTTGTGCGTGACAGTCGTGTGCGAGGGGCTGTCGCGTTATTTTGTGTTTATTTTATTATTAAAGTTTTCTTTAAATGTTCGCCGGTTCCCGCCTCCTTCTTCCTGATCGACAAACGTTTGTTACAGCAGAGCACAAATTCCGAGTATGGGTCACCATACTTAGCCACATGTCACATCACTTTCACTTTTTTTCACTTTCAAAACACTGGAACCAGAAACATAGAAACAGAACAGAGCAAAGCAATACAAAACAAAATGAAAATAAATGAAACAAAACAACAGCAAAACAAACCACTGAAACAAACAACAAGATCTGACACACAAACAAGTGAAAAACATGGGCTTATATACACACAGAGTAAATTAACAGGACACAGGAGCAAAACCCTCTCGGTCCATTCGCGATCGCGTTCCTTGGGGGGGGGGGGGGCGTTCGCCGCGGGGCCCGATGCGACCACACCAGTTGCACCCCCCTAAGGACGGCCCTGTGTCCGCCCACGTGCCGTTCTACATCGCAAACTTGCCTGCCCACAAATACAGTAAAATTTCTGTGTGGTTAACATCATGTCGAGAAGACGCTGTATCCTACGCTGTGAGAGTAAATTTGTTTTATCACATCTTATAATCACCACCAACTTGTTAACACTTGACACTTACCACTGAGAAAGGTCCTGCTTGTGAATCAGTCTCTTGTCGATCAGCCACTTCAACCGTTTCATCATCAGACTCCGGCTCGAATTGGTATGGTACAATCGATACCATCTTTTCTATGTATTGAAGTTCTCCAGGGGTCTCATTTATAAAACTCTATGTAGATTTCATCCTAAAAGTGTACGTAGAAACAAAAGCTAGATTTTGCATATGCTCACAAGTTTTATAAAACCATGCGTACGCCAGAACCTGCACAAAAATCCCTTTATAAATCCCAGTCAGGGAAAGATTGTGCGTACGTGCATCTCCACCCTAGTCTCGCGACTGACGTCTGAAGGTCTGGAATCCATGGCAGCTTTCACTGGCCAAAGCCCGCCCATGAGGCCATTTGACTTACATGTCAAACAACCAATCACAGTTCGTTTCATTTCAGCGTCACGTTTCGGGGCGTGGAAATGTCGCCACAATAACAGACCGGTGTGTAAAACTCTCAGACGTATTTTAAAGACCGCTAACTTTAAATATTTCACATACTTTTGAAAATCCATCGTTTAGTTGATCCTGATAAGCGCTCGTCATCACAGTTGTAAATGCGACGGCTTTCTTCTTTCATGAGGGGGTTTGCTGTTACGGCATCTTTGTTTCCAGGCGGAATGTTATAGAACGCAACACACATGTCTCCCAGAAATCCTGTATAATTGAACCAATCCGATGACGACTTCGAAACTCTTGAAGTGTTTCCATTTTTGTGTGCCATATGCATCAGAGCTTTAGCCAACGTTCCGTGGGCGTGATGTCTGAGGCTGAGACTATCTCCACCCCATCTCCTCCCTAAAATCACCATATATGGAGCTTACAATGCCTAGTTTTACTATGCATAACCTCATCTGCATATAATTTCTATGCATATTCCCATCCACGTAACACCATGCTTAACACCGTCAAAGGTACAAGACATTAAGGAAATATGAGATACGGACGATAAACGCCATTTGTGCCATTCACATTAATTTTTGTTGCTAGAAATCATCCGGTATCCTTATTATGTTTTAAAATAAATATATCATAATATCCATAAAAAACTGTTTAAAATAGTTCTCAGAAAAAAATATTTAGAATAGAGTTGATCTCATTCATTTCCACTGGCTCAATATTTCAATTGTTTAAAAAAATTCAAATTAAATTAATGCAGTTTTGCTGATAAGGTGAACATCTTTTAGCTATTTGTTTAGTGGAAAAAATATAGGCCTATATTTATTGCAGTGTAAATACAATTATCTGACTCTGCGCGTCATTGACACATTATTTTAAAAGGGAAACGTGCAAATCTTACCGTTTTCTTCAAGATGTATCCTCATTTACAGTGGTATTTTTCATAATGTTGTGGAGACGCCTTCACACGACATCAACACCTCCGTGCAGCTGTGGTTGTACACAGGGGTGTGAAGTAACGAATTACAAATACTCACGTTACAGTAATTAAGTAGTTTTTTATCAGTAATTGTACTTTTTTGAGTAGTTTAAAAATTGTGTACTTTTACTTTTACTTGAGTACATTTTAAGTGATGTATCGGTACTTTTACTCCGCTATTTTCCTCCGTTTGTGGTCGTTACATGCTTATTTTAATTTCATTTTTATCCATCAACGTGATTGGATAGAGAGTAATAG